TCCTGTTGAAATGTCCAGGACCCTCCAAGAAGCTGATATGCTTGATCAAAAAGATTATTTGTTAAAATTTCATAGTACAACTCCCCATTTATGTTTTCAGTAAACATGTGAAACCCAATGATTCCTTGCAAACAAAAAGCCTCCCAAACATGAACTTTGAAAGGATGTTTGACAACTCCACAAGTTGGTTTTTCTTTACCCTCATTATAACGAATTAAGGTGGTGTTACAGAATATTTAAAAGGTCATTTTATCAGAAAAAACCATATTTTTCCAATTTTTATTTTTATGAATCTCTGCCCAAGAAACTTGTCTCTCTTTTGCAATTGAAGTGAGAAATGGGGTTTTTTTAGAAACACAAACTCGGTAATCAAGCTTTCAAAGGTTCTTATGGACTGTGCGAGTGGCTATATTAAAACCTGGGTAAGTATTATTAAGAGTGTCTGCAATTTCAAAACTTGTTGCACCAGCACGCGAATGAGCAAGTTGACTAAGATGACACTGCTTTTTTGGACTTAAAACCTTTGGACGTTCTAGACGACATCGTTATTTTAAATTTTTTATTTTTTTTAACTGTGATGACCACCAATACAGTGTTCTTAATGGGAACTTGGTAATTTTGTGTAGTTCGTTTACATTTCATATTTCATTATTCCACAATGACTTAACTACCTCACGTCGTTCTTTAATAGAAATTTTTTGCAGCATTATTACATTATATCGGTTATAAGGCACTCTTGTGTTCAGTTTTTTTATGCATGTTGATCAGTATAACATAGTAAATAACCAAACAAAAATTTGGTTTGTGTTGTCCAATCAGATGTAATGTAAATCATTGTTTTAATCACATGATTGCAACTGCCATTTTTTTCTGCCACTACTGTAATAGAAAAAACATATTAACAAAAATTTATAGAATTTATTATGTATCATATTTGTATAAATGAAGTAGAAAAACATCTTTATAATAAAAAAAATATAAAGTTTCTTTATTATTTTTTTAATATTTCAACAATTTTTTATTTTTTATTTTGAATTTTTATAATATGTAATTTATTAAAGTAAAAATAAAAAACTGCGGCTAATAAAAACTAAATTAAAAAAAATAACTTATTTAATTTGATTTAATTTCAAATGATTTATTTTTAAATTTACATACATGAGTTTTTAATTTTTTAATTTTTTTAACGTGAATATATTGTGGTTTAGGATATTTATCTATGATACACTTTTAAGCAAAATATATTAATCTATTTTCATAATATAAAATTTCAAAAATAGCTGATTTTTGTTCTATGTCTTTTCTATCATCTTTTATTATTTTTTAAAAAAATGCAAAACTTGATCATAATTTTTTTTTACCAGATTACAAGAAAAGCATCTAATCTAAATTTCTGATGTTGTTCTATAAATTCAAGTAAATAATTAACTAAGATGTGCATGTACAGCATTACATCTTTCAGATAATATAAACCTATCTTAAAGTTTATAGTATTAGGTTCCTCTTGGAAGAGAGTAAGAAATAAATCTAATTATTTCTCGCATTATTTGCAAATTGAGATAGATTGGTCTCTTTAGATTTCATATTAATATAAAGTTGAAAAAATCTCACTACAAATGATTAATCAAAAATGCACGCTTTTCATCAATAATAACTTTAAAATTAAAATTTTTTAATATGATTTCCTTGTCACCTTTTATCAATAAAGTGTAGAATTAGTTTTGTGTCCTCTATTTCTGTCAGATACTAAATGTAATTAAGATTCTATTCATTTTAACAATGATCTTTGTTCTTATTAAATCATTAAATTTATTTTTCATTTTGAGTTCTTGAATTATTAAATCTCATAACCGATTTTATATTTTTAATATAATATGCAATTAATCTAAAACATAGTGATTTAAAGGAATTATTTGAAGCAGAAAAGGTTTAATATGACCAGGTGGTAGTTTTACTGTTGAATTATTATTAAAAATTAACTTAATTTGCTGCATATTTTTTTCAATAATACATACTTTTTATCTATTTCTGATATTTTTTTTTATACAAAAGCATTATGAACAAAAATATTTAGAGTTTAGAGTATTAAAACTAAGTATAATTATCATAAATTTTCAATCGCTACTAAAGTATAGATTAATTTTCTATATTGTATCATTTGAATCCTTTAATCTATTCAACACTAAATCATTTAATTCATTAGCTATTAGTGTTATCATTTTCTTTAATAATTCATAGTTTTCACTCCTTAGAAATAAAATAATTGTATAGTGATAGTTAGCTTTATATAGATTTGCAATATCATCTAATATTATATATGTAATAATCACATGTTTAATCTTCTGACTCCTATTTTTACTATTCTCAGAAATATGCAGATTAATAATTAGATTATTTTGATTAATAACATATTAATTTATAAGATCTAGAAGTATAAAAAGTAAAATATCTGTAATTTTGTAATAATCAGCTTTGCCAATATATTTCAAAACTTTCTTTATAATCTCTAAATTATTAATATCTGAATTCTCACTAATGGAAGTAAAAAATGATTAATTTAAAATTAATATTAGTATTGCATTAATTATCTCTTTGTTAATTATTTTTTTGTTTTATAGATAGTTGTTTCATATGATAATTCAGGCTGAAATATCACCAGATTTCAATATGAATCTCATGTAATAGATCCCTAATCAATAACTTTAACAAAAGCTTCATTTTGTTGATTTTATTTTTCTTTATTTTGAATTTCAAAATTAGCTTAAAAATTTTTATTTTGAACAATAAAACAAATTTTTTGAAGTGCTAGTTGATTATTAGGATGAAAATATTTGGTTGCTATATTTGTAAAATTAACTGCTAAATATTCATTAAACATATAAACTCTTTTAGTTCTCATAGAGTTGCTTAACTTATTAAAAGGTTTAAGAATACAAGATTTATGTTTTGTCTCATGCTTCCTATTCAATTTTTAACTATTAAGAAAAAATACATGAATTCCAGAAAGACGAGCTTGAGTATTAGATTTTTTTATTTATTTAAAATTTAATATTAATTTAAAATATATAAAAATGTAAACCTTTATTTAACACAACTAACTTACTTGCAAATATGCATTTGTTGCACTTGTTGCTGATTGAGTAGATTTTACACATGATAGAAAATTTTCTTCAAATAAAATTTTAAAAAACTGATACTTTTTCTATATAATTAATTTCACATTGTATTATATATTTATAAGTATCTCTATCTCAGCTTATTTGTATTAAATAATTGTCTAAAATCTTAAACTGCGTGTTATTATAAGAATGAGTAGAAGTATATTAAAGTATATTACTTTGAGAATAATATTCTTTTTAAAAATTGTATAAGTATAATGAGTATTATTTTGATTAAGTATAATAATGTTAGAGGCAGAATAAGTAGACATTTTAAAGGCTAAGCAAAGTGCACAAATTTAATTAAAAATTTTTATATGAATAGATCAAATATGAAAAAAAATTTTAATCTTGTATTATATGATTAATAAGTTAAAATAGTATCAGTTTAAATAACTGAATATGTGGTTGTATTACTAAAATCTGAGATTAATCCTAAAAAAAAATTAGGGTTAGTGTTAAGATATATGTATATATATAAATATTAATTGCTCTTAAAGAAAATCAAATGAGTATAACTTTTACTTTTGATAGATAAACTAATATTAAAAATAAGCAACTATTAGAAGCAGTTTAATAATTTCAAAAGGTAGACTTTATGTTTAAAAGGCTATTAATATTAGTATAGAATGTAAAAATCATATTAAAGTAATGGAAAAATAAAATCAATGCTTACTGAATTAAAAAAAAAGTTACTATTTATACTATTGTTACTGATAATATAGTAATATATAAGTAGTATCATAGTAAAAGAGAAAGATAAAACTTTTTTATAGTTTTGAGAAAATCATAATTAAATATTATCATATGATTATCATATAATCATGACAGATTTCTTAAAAATAATTTTTTAATCTAAAGTAAAATTTTATAAGCAACTTTTTAAGAATAATAGCTTTTCTTTTAATTTATTTATATTCTATTATAATATAAAAATACAATATATGATTTTAATAAAGTTTGTGTAAAATTTACAAATTCTTTATTTTATAAGTATTATTTTTCTAAGTTAAAATTCTAAGTTTTAAAACTAATTATAACAAAATAATATGAGTTAAAAATAATTTAATTTATTATTTATTTTGTAAAATTTTATATTAATTGTTTTTGAATTTTAGGTTTTATTTCTATATATGTAAAAAAAAATTATTAATTTATTTCAAATCTATTAAATTTAAGATAAGTAATATTATGAAAGGGTAAATCAACATAAGGTATAATTTCTTTATATAATTATTCTGTCTTTTTAAAAAAAGTAGTTTAACACTAATTTTAGAAGGTAAGGTATTAATATTAGGCCATACAAATAAAATTGTTAGTTTCTCATCAGCGGCCGGGTCATATAAATGCTGCAGAAAAACTTTTTTTTTATTTTTTTTTATCACGTGATATCGGCCGGGTCTAAAATATTTTGATTTAAAAAAATTTATTTATGCTTTTATTTAATAATAAATAAGTGTGGATTATACGTAATACAATATTACAATGATGACGCCATTTACACATGTGATATCAGATATTTACAATATGATTATTTATTATTATTATTATTCCAATTGTTCGATATGTACATTATATTTACATTATTACTAATTATTATTATTAAAGAAATTATTACTTCGTTCTCACTTTTTTTCCTTTTCTTTTGCTAGATTGAGCATCCGATGAAAAATTTAAACCTCTGCCCATTTTAATTTTTACATCTGAATCTGCGGTACATGCTTCACAGTACGGATACTGCTTTTCAGGTACAGGTATTATATATTCAAATGAATCACAATTAAAGCACACAGGTAGAAACTTAGCCGAATAATATGCCTTCTCCATTTCGTCATAACATTCTAATGCTGCATTTACAAACACTTTTGATAAAACATCTATTAATTCCTGATTCATATCATTTCGCTTAGTAGTTGTATCTTCTATTAAATTTTCTTCTTGTTCATCCTCATGGTCATCTTGCTCATCCTCATGGTCATCTTGCTCATCTTCATGGTAATCTTGTTCATCTCCTGATTCCATGTCAGATAAAACATCATCTTCTAATACTTCATCTATATGCCGTTTTTGAGATGATTTTTTCAAAGAATCTTTGGATCCTCCATTATGACAAGTAAAAGTGGCACCATAAGTATAACAAATAGTATCAAGGTATCTCATTAAAATTTTTTTTTCATCTTCTGTAATTTTTTTGGAAGCATATAAACATCTCAACTTGTTACAATCCATGCATGTTACAGTTACGCCCACATTCTTTGCTTTTTGTGCATTTCCCGTCCACGGCATTTGCTTACCTTGCTTTAGTTTTCCTCTTTTATTTTTATTTAACTTTACCTTGCGTAACTCTATAGATGGACAATAAGACTCATTTGTATCTGTACTATAAACATCATTAAAACTTTTGTAGTGATCACTATTTGCCAGAATTGGATCAGGTAAGTGATTTAATGTATCAAATATATGTTGCAGACTTCTAATCGGTGTTAACCCTACGCTCAACCGTCGAACTTAGGGCAACTATGACTTAATAACAGGGAGTAACGTGCGAGAAACTA